ACCCATCTTGCCCAAGGCATATGCTTGAAAAGTATCCCTACTTAATGAGACCAGTCTTGGAAGCTTCATAACTGCATTTACCAGCATGGGTTTTTAGCATGGTGAACAGGTGCAGCCAGAAATAAAACAATGTTAACTGATCTTCCTCAGCTTGAAACTATTATGAACAACACATGCTAATAAAAGGAGTTAGCTTAATTTCAAAAAGAAAAGTCCATAATAAAAAGAAAGGCAGAAAATACCAAAAATAGGAAATGACTTTCTCTTTACTAAGCAATAGTAAGAATATTCAAGTTATTTGCGAATTAAAATCACTAAGGAAGCCTAAAGAAGAATCTGTTACTTACCACTAAACACAATCCTAATTCTTCATATTACTGTTTAGAGAACATAGATCTCTTTAATGCAGATTGGGGGAAAGCTAAGTTATATAAATTTGTTCTCTTTAATATTTCTCAATGAAGATTAAATCATAAAAGAAGATCTAGTCTTAAGAACTTTGTTTCTTGTAGGTACGTTAAAAAGGTTGCAAAAATAACCCAGGTTATAATTAGAAGATTAAAATACTGCATGTGCTCTATTTCAAATGTGATTATCCCACCTCTGACAAAGCTGAATCTCATAGTCTGTGCAGATGGCACAGATCAGGCTTCCGTTTGACCCTAGGGCAGTATGAGGTACTGCAGGTATAATTGTGTGTGGTGTAACAGTAATGACAATTCAGGGAACACTTGTAATAAACAAAATCCCCAGTGCATCACAGAAGTCCCCAAATTACAGACCGCCAACTCATTCCTTTAAAATCCTTGTTGTCCTGAAATAAGGGTAAACAAAGTTTTTTTTTAAATAAAAATAATTACACACACAAAAATAAATTACTCAAGAGTAAAATCAAATGTCACAAAATGGAAGGTGTAGCACTCTCTGCCATTCCCTTTCTTTGTCTTGCCACTGAGAGCAATTTCTGTTTTTACTTACCAGGGTCATTTATATAACTTGCAATAATATAAATGTTGTCTTTTGAAATATTAGCTTTAGGCACAGTCTGCTGGCTTCTCACTATGATGAAATTAATGTATCTCCTCTTTCTTCGGTCTCTACTACCTCCTAATTTTATATATAATATTTTTATATATTATATTTATACTATATATATTATGATGTACATAATATTCAGGTTTGTTATCTAGTTGTGGAACTGTCTTCCATATCTAGAAAAGAATCAATAAATAGTGTATATAAGATTATAATTTGCTGTTCACTACAGAACCAAGTATAATGATTGAAGGCATGCAAAAAGGATTGTAATCTAATCCTGTGTCACTTAAACTACTTTTCTTGGGACAGGCATTTGAGATGGCAGTTAAGATACTTTGTTATTGACCCAGATCCCATGTTAGAGTCCCTAGGTTTGAGTCCTGGCTTTGCTTCTAGCCAGCTTCCTGTTGATACATACCCTGGCAGACAGTACTTGCCTCCCTGCCACCAACATAGGTGGATTGAGCTCCTGGCTTCAGCCTTGTCCAGCTTAGGCTGTTGGTAGGCATTTGGGGAGTCACCAGCAGAGGGATGATTTCTCTCGGTCTCTATCTGCCTTTCAAATAAAAAGTAAATAAATAAGATTTGCTTTTCTTTTTTAAATTTTTTCCCAGAAACCTTTTATTTAAGGTCTATAAACTTCATGCATTTCATTTTTAGAACATTAGGAGTATAGTGAGTGTTCCCATCCTACCTGTACTCCCAACCCTTCTTGCACCTCCTTCTCCTATTCCCATTCTTATTTTTCACTAATATCTATTTTCAGTTAATTTTACACATATAAGATTATACTAAGAGTTCAACAAATAGTATGAAAAATAAAAACTGTTCCTTAACAGTGGAGATAATTTTGACAGATTTCCCAACAAACTAACCTCTACAAATTCTACAATTTTTAAACTATCAGTGGTTAAATTTGCTTGTTTTTTTTTCATACCTGCTTAAGAGTTTAAAATTTTTGCCAATCTGATAGGTCAAATGAGGAATCAAATTTTCATTTATTCTACATTTCCCTAAGAGTGAGTTGAGTTGCATTATCATTTGTTGGTCACTTAGAATTTCTTCTCTGTGAACTCACTATTCATATCCTCTGCCAATGTTTAAAAACTGGGTTATCATTTCTTATTGATTTGTTGGATTTCTTCAAATATGTAAACATTTACCTATTTCTCTGTCCATAGTTTCATAGTTTCACCTCACCCTGGTTAGAATGGCTTACATACACAAATCAACTAACAACAGATGCTGGCGAGGATGTGGGGGAAAGGGCTCACTAATCTACTGCTGGTGGTAAAGCCACTATGGAAGACAGTTTGGAGATTCCTCAGAAACCTGAATATAGTCCTACCACATGACCCAGCCAACCCCCACCTTGGAATTTACCCAAAGGAAATTAAATTGGCAAATAAAAGAGCTGTTTACAGCTCAGTTCACAATAGCTAAGACCTGGAATCATCCTAAATGCCCATCAACAGAATTCTGGATAAAGCAAGCTAATTTTTAAGCTGATGATTGTGTATGTTCTACAGATGATATTATAAACATCCAAAAGACTCTACACAGAAAAAAGGTTCCCCTAGCACTGAGCTAGAAAAAAAGGGTGTTTACCTTAATCTGATTCCCCGTGGGTCTTCAAGAAATTTATGGGAAATGTGCATTTTAATTTCATTTTTCCACAAACTTTAGAAAGTTCCCTCATAGTGCTATACCAAACAAAGCCTTTAATTTCTGGTTTCCTTCTTGGTCTTTCATTAGGAGGAGTTAACCAGATTCTGATCAAATGGTTCAGAACTATAGCATTTGTAAGGGATCATTGAGGTGTGTCATTGCACTGGCCAAATTTTGATAAAATACTGTGGTCTTTTAATACAGAATAAGCAGTTTAGTTTGCAGTGTTGCTTACAAAAAATTGTGTCATAAACTCGAGATAATTTTTAAAGAGACACCTTGCAAGAAACATGGATGTGACTCTCTGTAAATTCCTAAATGATCTGCTTTATGCTAATATCCTGTTTTCTCTTGGCTCTCATTTGAGATGATTATTAGACTGAAATAGATCCCTTTAATACTTTTCTTTTACATTGGAGGAATAATTGCAAGTCTGTATATCCAGAGAAATAAATGGAGTTTCAGGATTTTACCTTGAGAATTTTAAATCTCTTTCTATGGCTCTATCTTGCCAACTTTTTGAAATTAGTATAGCTTTCTTCTTTATTTTCACCTTTGAGTGCGTCTTTGTGTAAAAATGTATGGGAAATATTGAGGAGTGAGCTTGGGTTGCTTTGGAAGCACTGTTGCTTCCTTTTGATCGGATTTGCTCCCATTTGTGGTATGATCTAGGTCATTTAATAGTGTTCATATTTGCCTCAGAAAGATAATGTTATTGTTTTCTCCTTGCCAAATTTTGGGCTAAACACTTTGTGAGCATTTTCTCATGGAGTTCTCACAACCCCCTTTGCCAGTAGGTACATTTATCCTGTGTGATAGATGAGGAAACAAAGGCTTCCGAAGGTTAGAGCTCACATATCGAGTAAGTTATAGAGCTGGGAGTTGACTAGATTTCTCTCTTTCAAAATCCCGTGCTTTCCAGCTACGTGCCACACTGTCTCCCAGAGTACTCCAGAAGAATAAGGGCTACAAAAATGCATGCTATATTTCCCTCATTACTTATCTGTTTTTTTATAATTTTCTCATTTTTTACACTCTTCTGATAAAGATGGTTATGGGAGATGCAAAGAAACACTCCTTTAAGTATTAGCTTTGTATGAATGTGCTTCATTCTAAATATACAACATTTGTAGCTCTGTCAATGTCCTTGGTAATGCCATTGCAACAAAGTATTCTTTATTCATTGGATCCTTCAATATTTACTTACATTGCAGGTTTTATTCATTGTAATCTCTTTTTTTTTTAAGATTTATTTATTTATTTGAAAGTCAGAGTTACACAGAGAGAGGAGAGGCAGAGAGAGAAAGAGAGAGAGAGAGAGGTCGTCCATCCAATAGTTCACTCCCCAGTTGGCCGCAATGCCTGGAGCTGTACCAATCTGAAGCCAGGAGCCAGGAGCTTCTTCTGGGTCTCACACGTGGGTGCAGGGGCCCATCTTCTACTGCTTTCCCAGGCCATAGCAGAGAATTGGATCAGTAGTGGAGCAGCCGGGTCTCGAACCGGCGCCCATATTGGACGCCAGCATTTCAGGCCAGGGCACTGCACCACAGTGCTGGCCCCTATTCATTGTAATCTTAACATTGCTAATCTCATAGTGTCTGAAATATGTGAGATTAGGTGAAGAGGAATTTTGAGTATAAATTCTTTTTCACTAATGTAAACTAACTGTAGTTAAGTATCTTTAAAACCTAGCTACATAATTGAAAAAATCTTACCTTTAAGGTCTTACCTCTGTATGATTTTCTGGTGTGTACCTGTTTTCGCTGAGTGTAAATTCGATAACTTCTGCAATTTGAGAGTAAAAAAAATTTGCAGGGAACACAAAATAGGGGCTGGGGTTGTGGCACAACAGGTTAAAGTGCTGCTTCTGATGCTGGCATCCCATATCAGAGTACTGGTTTAAATCCCGGCTGCTCTGCTTCTGATCCAACTTCCTGTAATGCACCTGTTCAATGAAAGATGCCCAAGTTCTTGGGCCCTTGCCACACATGTGGGAGATCCAGATGGAGTTCCCAGCTCCTGGCTGTTGCAGCCATTTGGGAAGTGAAACAGGCAATGGAACATTCTTGTATCTTTCCCTCTCTTTGTCACTCTGCCTTTCAAATAAATAAATCTTTTTTTAAAAAGCACACACACACACACAGAGAGTGAAAAAGAGTAAGCACATATCCATCTGATGATCAATTTGAATGTACATAGTTTTGATAATAAAAAGTTTTATATTACTGCTTTTTCTTTCCAGTTTTAGCTGAATTTTATTTGCTAGTGATGTGTTCTCTTCTTTGTGTTCAAAGGGTAGCCATTCTACAAAAGTGGAAGCCGTGGTAAGAACTCTGATGAAAATACAGCTTAGAGATCCAGGGGCTAAAGCACTGGTGTTCTCAACGGTACAGTCAGCATTTTAATCTTCAATATTTACTCAGACCAGTTATCTCTCATGAATTTATATCTGAGAAGTAATATTTAATGTTTACCATAGTAGAATTACTATTAGATTTTTCTATATTAATTTTTGCATAACCATAAAATAGAATTTTTAATAGAAAACTTTTATTTAATAAATATAAATTTAAAAAGTACAACTTTTGGGTTATAGCAGTTCTTCCCCCCATAACCACCCTCCCACCCACAAACTTTCCCATTTCCTGCTCCCTCTCCCATCCCATTCTTCTTTGATGACCTGTTCTTTCCTCTGGGATCTCACCCACAGAGATCTTTCATTTAGGTCATTTTTTGCCACAGTGTCTTGGCTTTCCACGCCTCAGAAACTCTCATGGGCTTTTTAGCCAGATCCAAATGCCTTAAGGGCTGATTCTGAGGCCAGAGTGCTGTTTAGGCATTTGTCATTCTGTGAGTCCGCTGTGTATCGTGCTTCCCATGTTGGATCATTCTCTCCTTTTTAATTCTATCAATTATTATTAGCAGACACTGGTCTTATTTATGTGATCCTTTTGACACTTAATCCTTTATGATCAGTTATGAACTTAAACTGATCACTTTAACTAGTAAGACGGCATTGGTACCTGCCAACTTAATGGGATTTGGAGTCCCATGGCAAGTTTTTAGCTTTACCATTAGGGGTAAAAGAAATTTAATGAGACTTTCTAATTCCTATATTTTATGATTTTACATTCATTTACTTGTTTCCTGATTTAATACATTTGTTTTCTGATTTAATACATTAAGATTTGAATCCATAACCTTCAAGAATCATTTCTCAAATTAATTTGATAACTTAAGAAGAAAAATCTGGGGGCCAGTACCATGGTGCAGTAGGTTAATCCTCCGCCTGTGGCGCCGGCATCCCATGTGGGCACTGGGTCTAGTCCCTGCTGCTGCACTTCCAGTCCAGCTCTCTGCTATGGCCTGGGAAAGCAGTAGAAGATGGCCCAAGTCCTTGGGCCCGTGCACCCACATAGGAGACTTGGAAGAAGCTCCTGGCTCCTGGCTTCGGATCTGCACAGCTCCGGCCATTGCGGCCACTTGGGGAGTGAACCAATGGAACGAAGACCTTTCTCTGTCTTTCCTTCTCACTGTCTATAACTTGAACTCTCAAATAAGATAAATAAAATCTTTAAAAAAAAAAAAAAAAGAAAAATCTGCATCAAGTACTACTTGAGTAAAAACCCTAGTTTTCATTTTTTACAGACAAGTAGACACATCTATTAAGTGCACAATCATTTTTTTCTGTTATTTGTTTATCATAACTCAGTTTTCAGAGATGCTTATTTTTTAACCCTTTCAGCAAGCATTTAGTACCAGAAAAAAAAGTAAACCTAATATTGTTTCAAGATGAAGCTAAATAATGTTGAAATAATGTTGATGGTTGATGGTGCTATATTTAAGGGTTTTGTTTTGCTTTTATTTACTTAACATTGAGGTATAAAAGTTACTTTCAAATCTTATGTAGACAAAAATTGTGTAAATATCTTTTTGTTTTATGTGTTTTAGTGGCAAGATGTATTAGATATTATTTCAAAAGCTCTCACTGACAATAACATGGAATTTGCACAGATTAGTCGTGTTAAGACATTTCAGGTATGTCAAGATTTTACTCCTGTTTTTCATTGTTTTCTGTCATATAATCTACATAAGCAGAGTTTGTCTTGATTAATTATGAAATTATCATTTAAAAACCCAGTAAGGAGACAGATATTTTTCATCTTTTTAGTTATGCCCATAGCAAGATCATTCTTTTTTTCTTTGAAGACTTAACTTAAAGCCCTTTAATCGGAAAAGATTGCCTATGATTTGTCTTTTGATTGGGGAGCAGCCTCACGTCCCTCAGGTTAGGTTCTAAAGACACTGTGTCAGTCAAAACTGCACACAATCAAAATTGTCCTTATATCACACATAGTACAGTAACAGATGCACACCTTAAGAAATACACTCACAGAAAGATCAACTGAAAATGTAGCAGAGTCATGTCTCTTACCTCACATTCACTTTAGTATATTTATTCTTTCTCACTCTTTCCTCTGAGCTCATATGATTCAGCTTGAATATATCACATACATATTATCATTCCTTTATGTGTTATAAAGAACAAGAGCATTTAGGTGATACTTTTATTCATTGAAAGTTAAGGTGAAACAACTAATTTGCATTTCCTAAAATTGGTAATTTTAGATTTAATTTTCATAGTTATGTTTTGTACTTAATGGATACCATTAGACATCTTTAACATGAGCTATAACAATACTGCTCTTACTTGAACTGATCCAGCTAAAATTAAAATGTACCTTTCTTTTTTAGGAGAACCTTTCAGCATTTAAACATGATCCCCAAATCAATATTTTGCTGCTGCCCCTGCACACAGGTTCTAATGGACTGACTATCATTGAAGCAACTCATGTTCTCTTGGTGGAGCCCATATTGAACCCTGCCCATGAGCTTCAGGCCATAGGGCGGGTGCACCGAATTGGACAAACAAAGTAAGAATTAAATGAACATTACTCACTTTGCCTCAGGTTTTAGATACCAAGGCAGCATTTAAACTCTTCATTTATATTCATCATAGCCTATTTGTTTTTAGTTACAGGTTGAGTATTCCTCCTCTGAAATGCTTGGACCAAGAAGCATTTTGGATTTCAGGTTTTTTGGACTTTAGAATATTTGCATATACATAATGGGATATCTAGGGTTGGTACCCAAGTCTAGACACAGAATCACAAAATTCACTTGTGCTTCATGAACACCTTATACGTGTAGCCTCAAGATAATTTTTTACAACATCTTCAGTGTGTCTGTGTTTTGACCACAGACTATCACATGAAGTCAGGAGTGGAATTTTCCACTTGCAGTGTCCTGTCCATACTCAAAAAGTTTCAGATTTTGAGCACTTTTTAATTTGGATTTTCAGATTAGGGATGCTCAACCTGTACTTCCTTATTTACTAAATGTTTAAGCATTGAACATGACTATATGACCAAAAGGCATGAGAGTTCCAGCCTGCCCAGCAGAAAATCTAATCTCTCCAAACCCAGTCCATCCTCCAAGCAGTAAATTCCTAAATTCTGATTTTTGTCTTCTTTCCTACAAAAATCTGATTGCCTTATGTTAAAAGCTTTATGTTAAAAGCCTTTATGTTAAAAGTTAGAAACACTTACGGTAATTTCAGAATAGAAGGCAACCATCAATACTTTGTGAAGAATTGATTTTTGATTGTCTGAAGTAGCCCGTGTTAAAAACTTATACCTCAGGCACAACTGGAAACAAATGGCTTATTTTTAAGTCCTTTACCCTGGGAAAAGACATCTCCCTGGGTTAGGTCAAATAGGTAGTTAGATTAGTTTAGTAAGCAACCAAGCCTAATAGTGAATTTCATGTGGTATATGCTATCTTTAATCAAATCTTAAAATGTACAGTTATCTTTGATAAGGCCTCCCAAATGTATTACATCCAAATGTTAGATGCCTTGAATATTTAAAAAAGGAAGAAAAAAAGAAATCTATACTAAGTACTCATTGAATAAATATTTATTGAGCACCTGGCATATGTCAAGCATTATGCAAAATACTGAAGATTGAAATTGACTTAGATATAATCTATTTCTCCAAGGTCATGATATAATAGGAAACAGATAATTTAAAAATACTGTAGTAGAATGTGACAAAATATAATCATAGAGATACTTTGTTAACAAAAGTAATTATTTGTGCCCTAGAGAACTAGAATGACTTCATTAGATTGAATCTTGAAGTAATACGTATTTCACAGTTGGACTAGAAAAGAATATTCACATAGCCAAGGAGAGTTGCACATGCAAAATCACAGAAGTCGTAAGCAACATGACGTTTTAGGGACTGTTAGAAGTTTGGAAAATGACTGCAGTATAAAGTATGAGAAAAAGAGTGATGAGTCTGCTCTGTCATACTCAGAAATGGAACTTCTCTGTAAACAAAAGGAAGCATGATCCTCAAACAAACCTTTAGAAAAGTATGGCAAAGTAACAAAACTAATATATACAAGCTTGTTCTAAAGTACCTCCAAGTGTCATTTAAAATACAGTTATGTCCATTTGTTTTTCTGTTGATTATGTTCTGTTTTAAACATTGATTTCTTGTCTCCAGCTTTTTTTTTTTCTGAAAGTATAGACTGTACTCATCTCAGATTTAAAACTATAAGTCCAAAGAGGCCCATTTAACAAACCCAACAATCTTACTGTGCTTCCTAGTAAGTTGATTTTTTTCCACTTTCTGAGAAGACCGTATTAAGGCTTCTGAATTGTTCTCCTCCTCTTTGATGATGATCTTAGGTCCTTATACAAGGAAAACATAAGACGCCTAGATTGAGTAGCCTTTTTGTCATCAAATTGAATAGTCTGCCTGCATCAGTACCCACATAACCTCCTTCTCAGTACTCGACATTGTTCTAGGCATGTGGGATACCCACATAGAACTTATATTCTGGTTTATAAGGGGATTGGTGGACAAATGATAACCATTAAATATAATAAGCAAAATATATACTATATATTAGGCACTAGGAAAGTAGAACAGGATACGGAAAATTAAAAGAGTGCAGGTGACTGGAAGGGAAGGCACAGAAGGCCTTATTGAGAAGGTAACATCTGAGGAAAGACTCTAAAGAAATGAGAAAGTTAGTCATGAGATTCCCAAGTTACAGCAGTAAAAGTAGCCAAGGGCAGAGAAGAGATGAAGTCCATAGGCTTTGGGAGGGAGAGAGATTATATTGGGTCCAATAGGCAATAACTTACTCTGAGATTATTCCCTCGTTGGAAGGCTTTGAACAGAGGAGTGATAGGATCTAAGTTTTGAGAGAATTCTTCTGAGTGCTGTGTTCAGGCCAAAGAAGAAGGGGAATAAAGGAGAGCAAAAGCTTGAAGTAGTGGAACCCATTACAGTCATCCTGGTGATAGCTGCAGGGGGTAGCTTTGCACATGGTGAGAAATGCTCAAGTTCTGGATAGATTTTGAAGCGAGAACTGAAAATATCTGAGACAGACTAGAAGTGTAGGGTGTGAAAGGTTCGTGGATAATACCATGGTCTTTGGCCTACAATCTGAAAAATAAAGCAGCTGTCAGCCAAGCTGGGGAAGACTGCAGGTTAGAGCAGGTTAGGTGAGAAAAGAATTAAGTTTACTTTAGATATAAGTTTGAGATGTTTAATTAGAAATTGAAATAAGTCTTATTCTGTAATTGAATGTACAGGTCCAGAGTTGGGGAGAGGTCTAGCCTAGAGCTACATATTGGGAAGTCAGCAACATATAATATTTTATTTTGTTTTGTTTTGTTAATCATGAGACTGAATGAGATTTATCTAGGGAGTGAATGAGTATAGATGGAGAGGAGGACCAAGCACTAAACTCCAAGACAACAAAGTTAAAAAGCTCTGGCAGAAGCAAAGGAACAGGCCAAGGCAAGAAAGATCAAACAGTGATTTAGGAAGAAAACCAGAAGTCAAGAGTGTCCTGGGAGCCAAGTAAGGAAACTCAAGTACGAGGTATGATCAACAGTATCATGTACTGTCGAAATGTCAAGTAAGATAAGAAATGAGAACTGGAGTGGTGAAGATTACAGCCCAATTGGAGCAAAATAGAGGACCGCATTTTATCTGTTTCTTAATAAACACATAACAAAGAGAGGTTAGGTAACTTTTCCATGGTCACACAGCTAGGAAAGTAGTAGCAGGTTTCAGGCACAGCCTGACTCCTCCAGTCTGTGCTTAACCTCAACTCACTGCCACTCGTGTAGCTGATAGACCAATATTTGAGGAGCTTTGATGTAGAGAAAAGGAAGAGAATGAGATCAGGAGTTCAGTGTTTTGTTTCTTTTCAAATCAGAAATAATAAGAGAATGATAATTGGTTGGATACAAAAAGTCTAATGAAGCAAGAGACTACAGAGAATATTAGAACAGTATTCTAGAGTAGGCAACAGGATATGAGACCTAGCATTGAAGTGTAAGAATTAGTTTTAGTTAGGAACGTGCATGTATTGTCTGTAAGAATAGGTTTTCTTTCCAAAGCCAGCCATTTCTTTGTGCCAGATCCCACTGCTTCTCATATTCTTAAGGACTCTTCTCTTGTAATAACACCACAAAATAAATATATCAATATTATCCATATTTAAAAATAAGAAAGGTACTCCCTATGTTCTATCACCACCCCCATATCAGCTATTCTCTCTCAACTTTTTTGATTGGGTTGTTGTCCTCACCATACCACTGAAATGAGGCTCATAAGGTTGTTACTGACCTACTTCTTATCAGTAGTCTGAGGATTCTCTTTCTCTATGTCTACTCCCTAAATGGGTTCATCTAATCTTAGGGCTTGAAGGAACATTTGTACATGAGTAACTCTCAGATGGATAGCTCCAGCCCAACCATGCTCCAGTAGCTATTAACCCAGCTTCATATATCCCCTTTTATCCTTGTATGTGACTCCGTGGGCTCCATACCTCCTCTTAGATTCCCTATCTACTGGGTCATGTTTCAAATTAGCATTCATAAAGCTGTTTTCATACTGTATCTGCACCGGCCCTAAGCTTTCCCCATCTTACTGAGTAGCAGTGTCCTCTGTAGCATATTAGATCACAAATGCAAAGTTCTTCCATGTTTGTGTTTTTACATTTGACATTCCTTCATCTGAAGTCTTGTCAGTTGCACCTCCAAAAGATATTCCAAATCTGCTGACTTTCCATGGATCCAACCGTAGTACAATGCACCCTCCCTTACTGGGTGATAAAAAAATTTCTTAATTCTTACTGCAGGATAGCCCATCCTCTCACACCCAGCAAAGGCATTTCTAAAGTAGAGTCAAATATAAATCAAATTATGCAGAAAACCTCCTGAGGAATTCCCATTATAACCACAATAATGTCCAAACTCCTGGTTCTGTCCTGTAAGACCCTATAGGATCTGCTCCTTGAAACCTCTCCAACCTCACTTGGATCCCTCTCCCTCCTCTACAATATGCCGTGAACATTTTCAGTGTCTTCTCCTCCTGGGGACTGTGTATGTATGGGCTGTCTCCTCTGGATGCTCTTCCTGTTCCTTCACTGCTTACTGGCTGCATTCCCGTCACTCAGTTGGAAATTACATGTCAGCCTCCTCATGCATTATCTGTACTTTAAGCCTTCTTACTTCCTTGTATTTTGTTGTCTGTCTCCCTTCGTTAGCATGTCAGGTCATAAAAACTAAGTAGTTAATTTTATTTACTGCCTACCAACCCCTGCCTCCCAGCACCTTGACATCTGCCACAAGTGAGCACCAACTGATTGGTCAATGTAGATGTAGCATGTGAAGTCGTTATGTACTAATCTGTTTGAGGATGTTTTTAAACTTATAATTGTTATATACCTTCTAGACCTACTATTGTACACAGATTCTTAATTAAATCAACAATAGAAGAAAGAATGCAGGCGATGCTGAAAACTGCTGAGAGGAGGTAGGTAATAGTTTACTATGAGTAAAGGGGGGAGGTTTTCTTGGTTAAATTTCTGTGTGCATTGGAACTTCTTCACATAGATGACGACAAAATATTTCAACACAAATGCTTTTGAAAAGCAAGTTGTGACATTTTACCTATTCAATGTTTCCCAATTAATGCTCTGAATATTTTTGTTAACTTATTAATAGATTGTAATATAAAAAATTTCATCTATCTAAAATTCCTTTTCTGCATTGCATTACTTTTTAAATGAAATCCACCTTGCTAGCCAACCTAAAATCCTCAGTCTGGTGTGTGTAAAACTGAACTTGTGTCATAGCTTTATGCATCACAAGTGTTAGTCACTTGCAAATAGGAAAACCTGAACTTAAAAACTTGGCTGGTAATGTGTGGTGTCAGTTCAGAGGCAGAACAAAAGCAAAGGGACTAGAACAGTCTTAATTTTTAAAACTTACCTTTGGAACCATAAAATTTCCTAGTATTAATGCAAAATTTTTTTATCACTTTGAAAATACAGTGTCTTTTGTACATCCTTATGAGATAGGTAAAATTGCAGGATACCCAAGGAAGAGATTGTTTTAGAAGGGATTATTTCAAATTACTCTGAATAGCTTCTCTGCTATTGAAACCAGAAATTGTTTTCCATGGGTGGTTTGTGAAAAGGAAGGAGGCAACCACAAGAGCTTTTCATCCAAATTGTGAAAACTTTTTATTCTTATTTCTATGTGTAACAGACTTGAGTGATCTTTATTTAAACTGCTTGAATAACATGGCATTTAGGAGAGCTATAGAAATTCTTATGAAATAAATTAAATCTAGATGTTAAAAATATAATAATGTGAGAAACTCAGTAGCAGTTATTGATTTTAGTTCTTTGCCTTTTTTGTTTTGTTTTGACTAATTTGTGGGGGAAAAACATGTTATGTCAAAAGCTTGTAAATTTTATATGCAAGTCTTCACTAATTTTGACAAGGTATAAAAATGACCTGATTGCCTATTTTCTTGGAGAAGTTTCTTATGACTTAGTCACAAAAACCTAGGAACAAATGTATGTCTGGTCTTTGTTAATATAAATCTAATCACTGGTTCCTTGGGGTTTCTTTCTGATGCTGCTCCTCCTCGGAAAACTGCAGTCACACAAACTCATCAGGGAAACATTCTGAGGCCTCCGTCTTGACCGTTGCTGACCTAGCAGACCTGTTTACCAAAGAAACTGAGGAGCTTGAATGAACTACATTTGATTGGATCATCAGAGTTTAGTGTGGTGATGAATTTTCATGACTGTAGAGCAAATCATTAAGTGGGGGAAAAAATCCAGTAGATGTCAGTAAATGCTGTTCACAGTTGAATGAATTTTTTTCTTTTTGCTTGGCTGAACACTGGTCTGGCACTTTTGAGTCCTTTTCAATATACTGTTTCAAGGATCTGTAAAGATTTAGATTTATTTTACATTCCTAATAAAATTTTTATTTTTGTCCCAAAGAGCATCTATATCTGATAAAGCTAGGAAATTAAAAGAGGTAATGTGTATGTTCCTTTTGATAATATTAGTGGTAAAAAAAAGTTGGAATATGAGGAAAAGGAAACTAAGTCTAGTTTTATATGACATGTTATATTCCACCAACATTTTTGCAAGAGCCTTCAGTATCTCTACCACATGATTCACTAATATCTTGTTAGTGACATTTTAAGGAAATGATGGATTATAACAACTCCTAGTTATTTTGAGTAGGTTTAGACTATTACTCCATGCCTAGCAACTTTACAGTAATATAACTCCTATCAATAAATTAACAGTAGAAAATTATTCATTTTCCTTGCATCTTACTACCAAAAATCAAATACTGAAAGTCTTTCATATTTCTATTATATGTTAAGTGATGTGAGTATAGACAGTTAACTCTTAACATTTTTAAATGTATTAATATTTACCTTGAAATTACCTAACAGCTTTCTGTACTCTTAATTTTTCTTACATTTTTATATGTCTTAAGATTGATATATATATAAATATGGTCATTTTGTGGTTTTCATTTGTATTATAACATGAAAATGTTGCAAGATTTTTTTCTATCATTATTCTACTAAGGTGTTGGATTTTTTTTCCTTTACCATGTTCTTCTGTAACTAGATGTTTTAGCCACTGATATCTGCACTTATGGTAAAGTTTGTTATTTTGTTTGTCATTCTTCCTTTCCAGACTAGTATTTGGTTGAATGCTTTTGAATAAGAGAATGCCTTGTTCATGTCAGCAAATAATTCCAAGTGGTAAAAATCAGGTGTTTCTTCTGTGAAGAATTAATGGACTTTGAAATCACTAAATAATGGTTAGCTTGTTGTGTCATAGCCATGTGATGTACTGTAAATGTTCCTATTTTATTTTGTTTTCATTGAGCCTTCAGAATTTTAAATGACCCTCAGGACTCATTAGCCAGCTCCTACTTGCTGCCCAGAAACTGTAATAGAATTATCCCCTGGATCTCATTCTTCCAAGAGGCTTTTTTGGTGCTTAGATAAGGTGCATTTCCTTACCCTAGGTTTATAGGGTGACATAATTCTACTGAAGAAAACACACACACTTTTTTGGTGCTTATTCTTCAGTTGAAGGGAGATACGTATTGATTCTTTTATATGAAATTAAACAAAGTTATTACTTTTGTAGCTCTTTACATATTCTAAAGAGCTTTACTATACATTTGTGTGTTTAATTTGCCTGGCAGTCCAATGAAAGTGATATATCATTCCTGTTTTAAACATAGACAGCTGAGGTTCAGAAGTATTAACTTGCCATGACTAGCAAGTAAGCAGTAGAGCCCAGGCTTCCTGACTCCAGATCTCCTGTTCTTCCATAAATCACATCATGCTGAGATTCAGAAGGCCCATGATTTTAATTTAATAATGAGACTAAGTATTTCTTTTTGTTTGTCTCCTAGTATTCCTTTTTGTGTATGTTTTAGGGAAAACAATTTGGTTTGCTTCAGGTTTGTAAAGTATATATACACATATATATATTATATAATATATGTATGTATACATATATACATACATATGCATATGTGTATGTATATATGTGTATACACATATGTATATATACATATGTCTACTTATCTGTAAAAAAGGAAAACTGCTCTTATTTATTTCTATAAGTTATCTTTATAAATATTTTAGTGGAAATTGAAATCATGGGATTATTTAATTTCTGAGCCATAGAACATACAAACTTTTCATTTGTTTTTCAACAAAAGACGTCAAAGTTGCTAATACTACAGAATCTTATATTTTATGTATATCTATTATTCAACAAATTATGACAGTTCTTCCAGTTGTTCAAAACAAATAGAGACTGAATCCCCACATCTTCCTGTCTGTAAATAAAAGAACTTTTATATTTCTTTGCTCTATCGTTTTATATTCTCTGAAATTTCACTCTGCTTATAAATAGTTGTTCTTAATGAATATACTAATGAATCAGTGAGAAAAAAATGAGAGCCTCTATCCTTAGAATAGCCCTAATCTTTGGAACTTCAATGTGTTTAGACTTGGGAAATCATTGTCTGTTAAATTACTCCAGATGAGTTTACCAAAACTGAATGATTTATTTTTATTATAAGTATACTACAATGTACACTATATAAACCCAGTTATATAGCCTTTTACTGCAAATGCAGAAAATTTACTATGTTTATTGTAGTTTGGACTTCTCTTATCATGTATGATCTCAGCAGAATGAACCATGTACTTAGTTTTAGAAACTAATCCCTATCAAAACACTTGAATATCTATAAATTACAAATCTTAAAATAATTACTGATACTTTACAAATAACAGTAGTTGGTTACAGGGACAGACATTCAGCCTAGCAGTTAAGGTGCTGGTTGAGACGCCCCTGTCCGATATTGGAGTGCTTTGTTCCATGCTCTGGCTGATTCCAGTTTCCTGCTAATAGCGACCCTGGGAGGCAGCAGTGATGGCCCCTGTGATTGTGTCCCTGCCACCCATGTAGGAGACCTGGATTGAGATCTCTGCTCCAGCTTTGGGCCCAGCCACAGCTATTGGAGGTATCTGAGTAGCAAACTAGCAGGTGAGAGTGTTTCTCTTTCTGTCTCTGTCTCTGTCTCTGTCTCTCTCTCTCTCTCTCTCTCTCTCATACTTCGTCTCTTAAATAGATTAAAATTTAAAAAGAAACTGTAGTTGTTTCCAAAAACAAATGCTTATTGACATTGAGTTTAGCAGTACAAGATTAACAAGCTAACCTTTCAAGAGGAGCAGGAAGAATAACTCTGATTAAGTATCCCTTCCAAGATTTAATGTGCTCAAATTCCATAAGTTTATTTAACTTCAGGATATGAGCCACTTGCAAGCCTGATATTAGCAGGGGTGGGGAACGTCCAGCCCACAGATTGTACAGGGCCCTCGAAATCATTTGGTCTGGCTCTGCCAAGGCAACTGTGGGCAGGTCTTGAAATTCATTAAATCTATAGCAGGCTGATTTTTAAGTTGGTAACTGTGTGGCTCACAAATGATACACTGGCCCACAAATAACCAAATGGTCATTGCCCCCCTCCCTGCATTAGAGGAACACTATGTGAATGTGATAACCCTAGAGGGAACTGAAGTCTCACAATAGGTATGTGGTATTGCCTCTGAGATATAGAAGGGATAGTGTCACATACAGAAAATAGCACAAGAACTTGGCAATAACCAAACTTGCCAACTCCAGTCTCTACTGCCTTCAGATAGCCTGTCAGGAGGACGTCTTAACTCATCTGTGGATAACAAGGGCCCCACATCATCATTCAGACCCTATTACATTGTGTAATATAGTGACCCTCAAGATTGATTCTGTTTGTTGAAACTGACATTGTCATATTAAAAGCAAATTCTTTGTGTTGCAGCTTATGCTTTTCCTG